ACACACACACACACACACACACACACACACACACACACACACACACACACAACACACACACACACTGAAGCCAGAGAGCTGCAGAAATTCAGAAGAGCTCCGGTTCTTGTCTTTGGCAGGGGAAATATCAAAGATGCTCCAAGCAAGCGTGACATGCAGAAATATCTCAATAAGTGTCATTATAATGAGGAGAAAGAGCCCTACTGTCCAAACTTCCGCCTGGGTTACATTGCAGAACAAGCCAGTCAGAATTTCAATGAGCTCTGCAAGACTGTGAGTAAAAGATGTCTTCCACGCCCATATGTCTTATTTTAAACAATGCATACTGCCTCTATGATATTTTAAGTATGTATGTGTTAAAAATGACCTACTTTGTGACAATGTAGTATTACTTTAGAAAAGATATGCTGTGTTGTTGTCCAGGGAGGAGTGATAGGGGTTTTCATCAACTGGAAGTGTAACCTGGACCTGGATCCTTCCCACTGTAAACCCACATACTCCTTCCGTCGGCTTGATCTCCGGAAGGATCAGGCCAACTCTGGTTACTATTCCAGGTGAGCTCCAACGCCCAACTCTAACCATTTTGTTCATTATGTTAAGCTGCTTTTGTCACTTTGGCTTTTGGTAAGTGTCCCAGCCTTAACCCTTGCAATTTGTGCAGGTTTGCCAAATATTACAGTAAGGATGGGGTAGAGTCTCGGACGCTCATCAAGGCCTACGGCATCCGCCTGGATGTCATAGTTCACGGACATGTAAGTGGAAACTCTATCATTTATTTCCAGCTTACTGTGGCTGTCATGATGTTATCTACACGTCATTTATTTTTCAGGCTGGCAAATTCAGTCCCATCCCAACCATCATCGGCACGGTGACTGCTATGACTTCAGTTGGGATTGTGAGTCACCAATACGTTCATTTCTTATCTCGAGACTTTAAAATGAAAGCTGTCGTTTTTTTCACAACAAACTGATATTCCTTTTTCATGTCGCCCCTCTAGTGTACCATTATCTGTGACTGGATCATGCTGACTTTTATTGACAAGAATGAAGTCTATAGTGACAGGAAATTTGACGAGGTGAGAAATAGGCATACTTTATTCAACTTCAACACATATGGGTTCATTAAAGGTTTTGTATCTCTAAATAATGGCTAAAAAGAAGAGCTCAACAATCCAATTTTACGAATATACTATATGTATTGAAGTACAATATCATATAATATCAATATAATATCATTTGGTACTGAATACATTTTTCTTAATTGTATATTAGTTACCAAGTTGGTGGTCATAGTAGTTACAAGTGAACACTTTTTGTGTTTATTTAAGTAAAAGTAATCATCATCTAAACAACCTCACAAGTACATTTAAATGATTTCCTGAATGAAATGCAGAAACAACTGTATTCTCAAGAAAGATTGTCCATATTTTGTGTGCTGTATATGTCTTTTTCACAGAAATAAATGGTAAAACTACTGCATGCTGGCTCACTAAGTGAAGGATACGTGTCCTCCGCAGATTATCAAGGAGCCTGCGGTGCCCACTCCCACAGAGCTCAGCTACATCAACAGCTTCGGCTCAAACCATTCAGACCTGTCAGAGGGCGTACCGCTGTAATGTCGTCACAGTCGCCTCAGTCCTCCCTGGCCAAGAATACGGACGCTCCTCCATCAGCTGACTGCGAGCAACTCTGAGTGGTTCCTCAGGTGTCTGCAGCAGCTCAGTTATGGGCTGCCAGCGGTCGCCATGCTGTTGTGAGTGGAAACAAACTGCCAGAGAACCAGTGACAGAGGAGGCATCATCTGACAGACGGCCGGTCGTCTGAAAGTCTCAGCCTGTGCAGTGGATTCAGCTCATGTATCATCTCAAACCTTGATAAACCCCAACGCGTGTGACAATGAAGTTAATTGTTTCTCTTTCACTTGACATGACTTGCAGTAACACTATTTTGAAAATGTGCTTATTTTCTAAGTATGAATAAAAACTAAACCATTTCATATAAGAAAAACAAACTATGCTCATTTATATCAGTGTATCGTAGACATTCAGTGCAATAAATGTCTTCTAACAACTTAATTTCTTATTGAATTTCATATCATGAAACATTGACCTCTGCTCTTATAAATCTGCATTATTACAAACTAAAACATTTTTGAAGAACCATATTATTCAGATTTCCTTTGTCTTTCAACCTGGTGTGTTCAGCATTACGATAGATACAGGAGGAAACGGCCAGGAGACACACAAGGAGAGCAATGAGCAGTAATCAAATCACACTGACATTTTCCTTGAAATGGTTTCTCTAACAAGATTGCGGGGAAGAGTGAATCCATCTGGATGCCTGAGAGCAATACAAATGTCAGTGGTGAAAAATGACTTAAGACTATAAGGTCTAATGGATCGATATCTGCCACAATGGATGGAGCAGCACAATGCAGTCACATGTCAGTTTGGAAGTTGTTTATGTCACATAATAAGCTGCAAATTCATATCATGATCCATCTTAAACTGATAGTGGCTGTTTCAATCCATCCCAGAGCTAAGCTCAATAACTGCCGTCTGATCTAAGATGTTTTTATTAACAATTAAAAATTTAAAGAAGTAAGTCAGAGGCCCTAAGTGCTCCTTCGTCCGTCATCCGACATGTACAGCAATTGTCAGTGAGAAGCTTTAAAGAGCCAATCTACTTGTGCCTGAGATCAGAGTCTGAAATGTGATTACTTGTCTGGGAGACGTCATCTGTGGGGCAACGAGGTTACAGTGAAGGACGTGCATGGGTTAAGATCATGATCCAGACCAGCTCGCAGTGAACATTTTTACATTCAGTAACAGTAAAAACTTAATTCACAACCAGCCAAAAGCACCTGCTCTATTCATATCACTGTGGAAATTGCTCAGGCTGAATTTAAATGTTAAAACTGCAAGAAAAAGACTTGAAAGGTTCAGATGGGCTAAATAACTCCTCAAACATAAAACTCAAAAGCAGAGAACCTAGAATTTCTTTGCAATTGCAGCACCAAAGAAAAACTCAAATTAACGACAAAGCAATTTGCAATGAAGCAGCATCAGACATATGTTTCGTATTTTACTGCGAGTAGACAGATTAAGGGGGGGGGGCGTCAAATCAGAGTAGTTCAAGCCATAACCCACACATTAGCAGCCAAATGAGGCGGAAGCTCAGCTGATATGACTGGTGATGAATGAAGGTCCCCAGAGTCGATGGCACTCAGGATGTTTATGCTCTTTTCCCTTTGAGGCAGAACTGCAGTTCATTTCTACAGCACAGACTGAAGTAACTGAGCAATGAAAGCATTCAGACTCGCAGTTAAAACACAATATTTATTAACAGTGGTGACAAAATATAATTATTTTATGGCATAATCAAGACTTCAAACATATCTACAGTGCACATATTTCTCCTTAAACCCATCCTGATTACACACCATCAAAGAGCATAGAAACAGATGAAGAAGTGCATGAAAAGTGTCCGAATACAGTGTTTCCAGATTGAGAAGTGGTTGCCACAGTTGCAGCCGAGGGAGCGTTGGATGTCACATTCATTGAGCCTTCTGGTTGATCTGTGGGCTCATACCAAGCAACCAGTCGATGGTCTCCGCCAGGAAGCTCATGCTGTAGTGGGACGCTATGTTGCGAAACACTGAGATCTGCTCAGAGAAGCGCTTTTATTGGAATAGAGGGGGGGGGGAAGAAAAACAGCTGTTAGAACAACGTGAAAGGGGACGAATCGTGTGCTTTTATCACTAAACTGAATTGATGTGATGAATTTGAGAGTAGGAACCTTGGTTGGGAACGTGAGGCCAAAGTCTCCGGCACATCTGCAGTACAGAGGCATGTTTGCTTCCTTTACTCCTTTACATTTTGTACACACCTAAAATCACAAAGTGCTTTTTAGTGGTGAGGCAGCTTCAGCTAAATTATTCAGTGTTGTATAACAGATTTTGACCATTAATGAATTCTTCACCTTCAACATTTTAAATTATTTTTTGATGCTGGTGGTACCTATAGCATTACCTACTCACTGTCCCCCAATCTTTACTACAGAGATTCACAGAAGAGATTCTCTCTTTCAATATTTTGTTAAGTTCAAAACATTTTTTCTTTAAAGATCTTTTGGCATTTGCCTTTATTTGATAGTAACAGTAGAGACACAGGAAGGAAACATGGGGGGGGAGAGGACAGCAAAAGGAAAACATTACAGTTTATGTATTAACCACGAGGACAACTGCCACCCTCAAAACTTATCTAGTTATTAATCTATTCAGTATAAAAAAAATCATCATTTTCCCCTCACCAGGTCCTGCAGCGTGTAGCTCATCAGTTTCTTCTGCAGAGCTTCCACCAGAGCCATCTCAATACACTCAGTCTCGTACTGCGCCTGGCAGTTGGAGCAGAACCACTGAGGCAAAACCGATCCATCCTGAGGAGAGGAAATAAGGGTTCATCTAACTGGAATCACGAGTCATAACGGGGTTGATTATTATGCCAGCATATCAGAGCTCCTCCTCTCACTTGAGCCACAGATGGGTCCTTGCAGAGGTCGAGGTCACGACAGAAATTGCATTGGTGGCAGATGACCTCGGGCAGGACGTAGGTGCTACAGGGGTCACAGAACTGGGCTTCCCCTGAAAACTCTCCAACGTCCACCAGACGCAGGAGGTCTCTCTTCAGCTTGTTCACCTGGTTCACTATGTTGGCATCCAGGGAAAGGACCTGGACAGACAAACGATGGAATTGCCGCACGGTGAGAGGAAAATAACGACTTGATGCAACACGTGAAAAGAGCTTTGTAAGTTAGAGTACTTGGTGATGTACCTGGCAGACATATTTGATAAACTCCAGTGCCGGGTTGTTGAGTGGCAGGTGGGATCCGGGCAGGCCGGGGAACATCTCCGAGGCCTGGTTGACACTCCTGGTACCAGTCACCTTCTTCTGGATTTTTTGAGTGATGGTGAAAAAGTTCTGTGTGAGCTCGTTGGACACGTATTCCTGGGAGAAGGAGATCATTCCTGTGGGGGAGAGTTTTAAAAAAAATAAAAACATCCCATCTGAGAGGAAATCCATCTAAATACAATTGAAAGCTTCCCTTCATACATTTAAGTGTAGCAAACACTTGTCTGCGGCGACTCTGAGTGTAATGTGGGGTTTCTAAAAAAAACCCAAAAAATTTAGTAACTAAAGCACCTTACCAGGAAGAGCACTCAAATCCCCCACGGCCTGCTGGGAAGCCTGGCTGCCGCCACGTCTCTTGACTGGCGTTGCTCCAGGAGCGTTCCGCCTCAGCTCCTCTTTCATGCTGTGATAGACCGCTGCAATGTAGGCTGGCGGGAAAAGTTTGTGCGTGAGTATTGGCAGAAAGAGAAACACAAAACAATCAATCGAGTATAGATTTTATTTTTACCGGAGACAGTCATGAGGAAGTATTTCTGGCAGGAGGCAGTTTGGGGCAGATACTGCATGATGTTCCAGTTGCTCTCAATCAGCTCCTCCACCTCATCCGTCTCTCTATCGCCGTCATCTTCCTCAACGTCTGCTTCAGCCTCGTCTTCATCCTCACTGCCCTCCTCTTCTCCCTCCCCCCGGCTCTTTTTCTTCTGTTTGCCTCCTGCCTGAAAAAAACAAAACAAAAAACAAAACATGGAGGAAGGGGTTTGTGTTCTGCTACTTTAATCAGTGCAAATATACTGTAAGGGAGAAGTTACAGTTTGAATTACCTCTCCGTACATGATGCTGGAGGGCAGTTTGCCCTTCACCCCGCTGTAGTTGGCTGGATCCATCCACAGCAGGAACTCCCAGCATCGGGAGAAGGAGATGGACAAAGAGTGGAAGATTTCTCTGGAGTGGATGCTAGAGGAGAAACAGCCAGGTTACAATATTATAAGAGAGACTGAAAAGTCCGTTTTTTGATAAAATACCTTGTTAAGATATTTTGGGGACGACTACTGTACTTTCAAAATCATTTAAAACCAGGAAATGATCATTAGCAAGGCTAGAACAACATTTGGTGTTTGCAATATTGCAATATTTCAATAACCAAATTATATTTCGTTTACCGTGACAATATTGATCGATTTTTTGTATTTATTGGCCTAAATTCCCCATTGACTTTCCCCTCCAATAGTCTAATGGGCGGTTTGTGTTACAGTATTCACTTCCATAATGAAGACCGCAATACCATCTATGGCTAACAACTCACTGCTCTAATGAGCAATTATATTTATTCTTCTGATTTTAATGGTCTGACTTTAACGTCACACTACTGAAGACACAGATACGGACTAGTCTTTACTCATTTAATACAGCTACATTAGTTTTACATCTTTATCATTTCTATATATGGATGCAGGTATGAATAAGTATATGTACATAATTTTGTATTAAGTAATGATAATATTTTACAATAATTGCATCAATCTGGTGATTAACATTCCTTCACAATGCAAAGATCTACACATGCAGGCGTGCAGAGGATACATGCGTTACCTGTTGGTGATGTATTCCACATAGCCGATGGCGTCGTCTATCCTGCGTTTCTTAGTGCACAACATGATCCTGTTGAAGTTTCCGTACACCACAGTGGAGCCGAGGCGCTTGAACTCTGAAACCAACCTGACAGCAGAATGAGAGAATGATTAATAAATGATGACATTGTAGCTGTTATGTATATCAATAGGTGGACATACAGCAATGCAACATTCAAAACCAGACATCAATAATATTAAAAAGTCAATTAATAGTTTTGCCCTCATTAAAGACGCTTAAACGCTCTCCGATACAACAGGTGGCTGATGCATTACACAAAAGATTATGACTAAATAAACTATATATATATATATATATATATATATATCTTTTGTTTGCAGTAT